AGCCTGACACCCAAAGCCACACTCTCCCTCTGCACCCCAAGCTGCCACCAACATGGGCCCAGTACCCGGCAGCCCAAGGGACCAGGAATGAAAAGCTTTTCACCTCACTGTCTAAGTCAATCAACTATTTGCCTGGGTGGAATGAGGCAGCCAGTACGCAGAGGGAACAACACAAGTTGGCAGGGAAGCAGAAGCTGACCCCACTGACAATGGCCTTCGGCAGCTGCAGACCCACCGCCCTCACTCCCACCCCTGCCATGGCATCTGAGATGTGCATCGGCTGACCTCTGACACTAGCACTACCACGGATGTGTTACAGGAAAAGACACACTGACTGGCACAGCAGGGAAGATCAATTTGTGTATTAGATTATTGATCACACATTAAAACGTGGAGGTAGAGGGAAAGAAATACATCTGCTTAATGTGGCTAAGCAAACATCAAAAACCTAATGATCCCGTGCTTAGGAGGGCTCCCCAAGGTGACTAGGCAGCTGGGGGGCAGCAGGGATGTGGGCAGGAGCACCACAGGATTTAATCCTGTCTGTTCTGGAACCAGATAATGAAGCTGTGGGTCACCACGACTTGACCCTTCACCACTGTCAGAGCCTTTGGGTCACTCAGTAAATGAAACGACTAGTCACTTCCATCAGGCAGTCAGCAGACTCTGTGTCCTTCCCCCATGCTGAGCAGGTGATTATTTAACTAGACCGACCCCATGCACTGACTGTTCTGGAGTCCTGTGGGTAGGGCTTTATCACCCATCAGCATCTGTTAGCTGAGCACCCACTGGGTGCAAACTCTCTCTCCACAACGCTCCTGATCATGGTGCCCTGAGGCCATTAGAAGCTCTGGACCCTAACCCGCACCAGCAAGGCCACCTTTTCAGCAGTAGCAGAAGTTGCCTGCCCTCCGACCTGCCTCTGATTATGCCTCAGTGGCTCTCCCGCAGAGCCACATACTGGAGTCACCTGGGGGTAGAGGTTTAAAATACTGTTTCTGGGTCCCACCACAGAGACTTCTTTCTATGTAATTGGCTTGGGGAGCAGCCTGGCATCCAGAGTTTGGAAATCTCCCCAAATGATTTGAATATGTAACCAAGGCTGAGAACCAGAGCTTTCTGCTGAAACTCACGCCCATCCGTGGCCCTGAGAGACATTTGTAGCAAATGGTCTACTGTCATTACTTCACCTTGGTGGCTTTCTCTGTGGTCCGGGGGTGGTCCTGGGGCTGGAAGAATCAGTTCAGATGGGGAGAACGTCTTGACCTAACACATCATCAGCACAGGCTGTTTGCCTTCCCAAATCACTTTCCCTTTTGCTTTCACTTCCTTGTTCTTTCTTTCAGTAAACCGCCCTCCCTGCCACTGTCAATCCTCTAACCCATTGTCTTCCTTTTGTGATCAAAGTCCAAGCATGTATGACCTCATTTATTCTCAAAATAGCCCTGTGCGTGAGGAAGGAGCCAGGTTTTCGTTTCCTAACGCAAATCAGGGATCTGCAGATCAAGAAAGGTTCTAGCTGCCATGGAATTCATATCATTATTTGACCTCAATGTGTTTACAGCGGTTTTCAGTGTCCAAATCACTTTCATCTACTTGTTCCTGCAGAATACTCATAGCAAGTCTGTGGTGACAGTATTTTCACGACCAGGATGGTCACTCATCCTGATTTGCCCTGAACAACCCGTTACACCTGCTGTCCCCGCCTAATTACGGGGGCACCCCCACCTTCCCTGTCTAACCAAGTGTCTTGGTTTGAACAATAAATTATACGGCCACCGTATGCATAGCCACCCTCTTATTTTAAGAGGAGGTCATTGAGACTCATAGAAGTTAAGTAATTTGTTCAGAGTCATTCAGCTAATTAGAGGCAGAGACAAGACTTGATCACGTCCTATGTCTCTAAACCTCTGCTCCATCTACAGGTATTGTGGAACACTAGCATCAGAGCTCATTTGCTCAAACCTTTTGCATTACAGATGAAGAAACTAAAAACATGGGGGTGTGATCTCTTAAAAGTCACTATGGGAATGTTCTCTGGAAGGGTCAGACTTGGGGTGCAGAGCAAGAAGGAGCACATTCCGGGACAACGTTCTCTGGCCACAGTAATAAGTCATCAGTAATTGTTATCTTGGATGCCACCTGAGAGCGTACTGTGGCAAAAGAAGGTGCAGGCCCGACTTATGGGTGTTTGGAAAAGAAAGAGTAAGAGATTTTGAGACTAACCTACTGGCCTTGAGGACTGGATCTGAATGTTATTTGCTGTGTACCTCTGGGCATGTCACATACCTTCTCTGAGCCCCATGTGTTATTCAACTGTAAAACAAGACTAAATATCATTTTTAACTTCCCTAGGTTGATAAAACAGAGCAAACAGCTGTTCTCCAAGGGCATTAAGTCTAACGAGGTCTCTGTGAGTCATATTTATCTGTTTTCTTCTTCATGTTTCACATGAGTGAACCAAAGCTCATGACCAAGGTTGCTGGGGATACAACAAGATAAGGTATTTGAATGTGCTTCATAAATCCTAACGTGCTGCCATTGATTATTATATCGTCATCAGCCTTAGTAGTAGTAACAGTGCTTATCAACTGAGGTGGGCCAGAATCACAGGTCCTTGAAACTCCCTGGGTGACTGAGGTTTTGAAAGACACACCAGAGGACAGGCAGGATTGAGGGTGTTCCCTTCATGGAGTTTTGAACATGCCCATCTCACAACTCCTACTGGGTGGTGAGGCCCAGCCTGCCTGGGAGGCTTCCTGGGAACCAGTCCGCCTGGCCCCAAGCACCTCAGGTGCCTGACCCCTTCAACAAGAAGGCCTTTCCTCTTAGGGAGCCATACAGTGAAGACAAATATCAAACTCTGGGAATATCTGATTCTGAAAATCAGGGCATTACTTCTCTAAAATGAAACCATTTGAAGCCTGGGCAGCATCTGTATTTCACAGGCATTTATAGCCTTTATGTGTCCCTGTAAATGATAACTACCGATTAGAGGCTCAAAAAAAAAGGCTTTCCTATCTGATTTTTTGGTCTCCCTATGGATCTGATTTCCGAGCTGCCTGTGAAGACCTGCATGACTCTCATGGATTGCTTTCCATTAGGGGAAAAAACAGGTGACATAACAAGCATTTCAGAATTCTTTGCGGGCACTGGGGCTGTGCCGTGAACTTTTTGTATAAACGAAGCAAAGCTTCAAAGCTGCCAACACAAAATTCCAAAGGTGCAGGTAGAATTGGTTTCCACGCCTTGCAGTGGGGCAAAGGGCTCCTTTAGCTCTAAAGGGTCAATTTGTGTTTCAGTTTTCAGGAACTTGACACTGCGAAACTGCTTGCTCCCAGGGAATCAGAGCGAGTCCTAGAATAGCTTCCTTCAAGGAGAGCAGCAAAACTCGTGGCTTTGTTAAAGCTCTCCTTATTCATTCCCTAGGCCACCGGCCTGGACACTGAGGCTCAGGCCCAGCCTTGGAGGGACAAGTCCTCTTAAATTACCTGGTTCTGCCGGAGGACCTGGAAATCCTGCCCAGAGGGGTTCTGGAAACCAAATGAGACTGACAGAAACCATATTTTAGGAAAGAGAGGAAAAAGACCAAGGAAAATTAGTGCCACTGAATGACACATGTGATTTTTATGGATAATTTTGGAAAACAAACACAAAGAATTGTAAAACCCAGACCAAGAAATTAAACAACCCTTTGCAGTAGGCTGGACCAACTGTGAAAGGGGACAGACCACTTCTCAAGTGTAAAATAAGTCACAACTAATTTTATATCTTTAGGCATCAAAAACTACCTAGGACCAAAGGGTTGCTATCAAGATTTACAGTTTTTGTGAAAATCTATGTGTTTAATCAGCTTGTAGATAAGGATCATTTGACCAAAATAACATCTTCCCCATGCCAGGGATTATAGGGCACTTTTCAAACTCAGCCAGGAGGCCCCTGACGCGCATTAAGGACTCTCCCCTTCTCAGTTACCTGCGGATTTCTAGGGAAACCTTGCATTCTAAGGTTGTTTTCCCCTTTGTGAAAGGCCCAAGCGCCCAGGCAGCCTGCCCCCTCCCCCTCCCCACAAGTCCTGGCGACTCGGCACAGTCCTGGAGGCAACTCCTGCCGCCTCAGGTTTCCACGCTTCTGCGGTGTCGGCACGGAGGACCGATCAAATGTTTCTTTATTACACCAGCGGTTGGGGAAATGCTGCCTGGGCCTCCAGCCTTCCTCCTACAGGTTGCAAGTGAAGTGCAACAGCTTTGACATTAGACTGTTTCTGCCCAGAGAGAAGCGAGTTAATTCAGTTAATTTAATTTTTTCACTGTGCCCCTTCATCCTAGTCTGTCCCCAGGTTGGTCGGGATATTTTCCCTATAGTCAAACCCTTAGCATTTCCTGATTCTACCCGGCTGAGGCATGATGGTAACAGTAACAATAATGTCCGCGAATGGCCTGTTTGTTTTCTGCTTCGCAGGTCGCAAAGCAAGAAAACATCTTTTGTTTGCTTTGATTTTTCTTGTAGTAGTTCTGAGTAAAAAAAATAGGTGATTTTAAGAAATGTGGTTTTGGCTTTGCCCAACATAATGCTATCAGTAATGGGTGTTTTCTTTTCTCTGCCTCCCCTCTCCTGATCCCCCGTCTTCCCAGTTTTAGAAGTAAAGGTTCACGGTTCCAGCCGGGTTCCTGCCATCTCCCTACACTGGAGATGCCCTTGAGGACAAGCCCAAATCGCGCCAGGCAGGGCTCCGAACCCGCAGCAAAGACTGCCGGTCCTGTGGCGGGTTTGACAAACTGCCGGTCAAGTCTGCAAGAGGACAGCCACCTGCCAGATCGCACTGACTGCGTTCACCAGCGAGCCCCGGAGCGAGGCTCTCTGGCTGCAAAAAGGCCCCCCGGGGGACCGAAAGGGCTCGGCTGCGCTCCCTGGGGACCCAGCTCGGTCCGCGCCCAGGCACGTGGGCCCGGCTGGAGGCGCCGCAGGTGCGCCGGGCGCCGGGAGGGACGCCAACCTACCTTCACGAAGAGTTCGATCTCGGGGTCCTTATCGTCCCCGTTCGCCGTCGCCGAGTCCATCATGCTGCCTGCGCCCGGGGCCAGCGTTCCTGGCCGGGGAGGCGCCACCTCTGCGGCGTCCGGGGCCCGAGCTCTGCTCCCCTGCTGCGCGGCTCCCTTCTTCAAAGCGGCGTTCAATTATTTTTTTCTTTAAATGTATTTCTTAAGCCCGGAGCAGCTGTGTGTGAGAGCTCAGTCCCGGGTGCTCACATGAAAGGGGCAGAGTTCAGGAAGGGACAGGAGGCCAAGGGGGTAAGGTGGGTTCAGGGGATGGCAGCAGGTCCCGGGAGTAACAAGTGCCGGGCTGCGGGTAGGTGTCACAGGATCCGCGCCCGTCAGCGATCCTGCCGTCACCTCCAACACGCCCAAAATAGCCGAAGGCCGCGGGGCGGGATCAGCCCGGGCCGGGCTGGGGAGTGGGGGGGCACCAGCGAGCACCGCCCGGCCCCCGCCCCCCGCTCCCCGCAGGGCCGCAGGCGCGCAGCCAGCAGGTGGGGCACCGCCGCCGGGCCGAGAGGAGGTCCTGGGTGAGGAAGAGGGGAAGGAAGAAGAAGGGGGAGAGGAGCAAAGGGGAACTGGCAGGAGAAGACGGCTTGTAAGTCTTAGGTTACATTAATGAAGCGTTAGCTCCTCCAAGTCACCCCGCTGGTAGTGTCACTCCCCTGGAAAGCCCCCTCCTGCCTCAGCAATGTCCGCGGTGGGGAGGAGCTGTGCGGAGCCGGGTAGGGCGCGCGAGGAGGGTGGCCAGGGCGGCCCGCTACTCAGGGGGCTGAGCCGACCGGGTCCGGGGCTGCCAGTTCCAAGGACCGCCCTGTCTTTTGACCTTCTGAGCTTGAATTTTTCGTCCCTTTTCTCTTTTTCTTTTACTTTCTCCTCTTTTCTTTCCTTTTCCCGTTCCTTTCCTTTCCTTCCTTTTTCTTACTTTGCTTTTGTTTTCTGTTCTTTTCTATTCTTTTTTCATTTCTGTACAGTTTGCTTCATAGTGAAGTAAGATACACATGGAAAAAAATATAAGAAAGTGTGCAGCTCGATGAATTTTCACAGTTTGAACCCACCCATGAAACCTGCACCAGATGAAGAAGTCAAATGGTAACGACACTCCCAAAGCTTCTCCTGGTCTCTCCTTTCTGCCTCTCCTTCTGCTCCACACCTTTCCCCACAAGGGTTCCTATTATCTTGATTTGTAATGGCACAGATTCCTGTTACCCAGAAGCTTACAGTAAACTGAGTATATAGTCCTTGATATCTGGCTTCTTTTGCTCACTATTTTTACATTTGGGAGGTTCATCCATTCTTCTGTGTGCAGTTGTAAATCATTCAGCTTCGTTCCACATTGATTTATTCATTCTTCCGTTGCATCTCCAGTTGGTAGCTACTCTGAATATTGCTGCTATGAACATTCTATCAAACATCCTTTGGTGATACAAAGACACTTTTCTGTTGTATATATACTTACTATGAGTTGCTAGGTTATAGAGTATGAGAATGTTCTTCTTAAATAAACACTACCAAGTGGTTTTCCAAAGTGGCTGTACCAACTGACATTCCACCCTTCATTTCTTTTAAAAATAGCTACCCCCATTGTGTTCTTTCCTCACTTACAACTTATGTATTTGTTTCACAGCTTTGTAAGAAAAACTTAATCACTTAATAAAAATAAGGAATACTTATGCACCAAAGATGCTAACTATGCTTTAGATCTTAACTTGTTTAATCTTTACATATAGTGTTATTATCCAAATTTTGTAAGTAGGGAAACCGAGGTTTGGAGTATTTGAGTAACTTGCCCTTAGTCATTGAGCTAGGAAATGGTGGAGTCGGGATTTGAACCGAGGAAGACTGAAACTGTGCTCTCAGGGGCTCTACTGACTGCCTCTCTCAAACTTAGTGCACACTGGGTAAGTCACTTTGGGAACAAACACACTACCCTAGTCTTAATGGATATTAAAATCTATTTCAGGGTAACAGTCACATGAAAGGAAAACTAAGGCTGCCCCATGAACTGGGTAGATGAAGGGGCTACGTACATCGGCCAGTAGAGAGATTATTCACCATGACTGTAATGGGTACAGGGAAAGGCCCATAGAGCTGAGGGCGCTTCTGTTGAACCTTCCTACAAGGTCTGGCACCTGATAGGCAGAGAAGAGGGCAAAGCATCCTGACCACCCTTCATGGCAGGCTGTTTCCTCATTAACTCCAAGTGCAAATGTCCCCTTCTCACTAAAGTAACAGTCACCAAGCCCAACTTGCAACCCTCATGCTACATGACAGCTTAAGCAAGGTGAGGTTCAATTATTCTCCTCCTCCTTGGTTTCCAGCTTACATCACCAAAACATTTAGAGAAACAGTCACCTTCACAGCTGTACATTCCAAGCCAATGACTGCATACTCTGGGGAAGACAAGATTGGAGAGGGAGGCTGGTACCTGCACTGCATGCTGCACAGATTCATCACTTCCCTGCTCTGAAGTATGGACAGTAGTTATGATAGTAATGTAGCAGAGGTAAATACAATTACATGTACAAAATGCCTTTGAGAGTTTTTTTTAATAAAAGATGCTTTTTATGCATAAATAATGTATGGTCTGACCTCTAGTTTCCTTCATTTCAAACTAGCAGAGTTGGCTTTCATTTCATCTTCTCCTAATATCCACTGCTTATTGGAAAAATGTAAGTTCCACTTTAATTTCTAGATAATACCTCCCATTTGGACATCCCTACAGATAACTGATACTTTTGATATTATAAATCTTCATGTTAAAAAGGACTTTGGTCACAAAATATTTCTGGGCTTCTAGTTTCTAATTGTATATTCTGTTTTACTTGATGATAAATACTTTATTTTGTACTTTTTAATATCATACCATAATTGGTTAGAGTTAATTCTAGCTTTTTCTAGAGAAAAACACTTCCCTGAACATAGACTGTACTTCTAATAGTCACAGTTTCACAAACTTGGTGCAATTTTTGGATAAATATTTACCAGGAAAACACTTCAAAAACATACTTAATGTTTACTTGGTAGCATATATACTTAAACTGGAACAATACTGAGTAGATTTGCATGGCCCAGTGAAAGGATGACATGCAAATCTGTAATATATATGCTTTTATTTGATTGTTGAAATAAAAACATATTAACATGCTGTAAGGGGATTTCAATATATTTATATTCAGGTTCAATGATATAAAGGGTGAAGGTAAGGGTATTTATACAGCTATAAGGTTTCTATACTTCACTTGAAGTAGTAAACTATGAACTCTAAACATACTGAGAAAATATAGGTATGTATATTAAAACCACTTCTATAGCAGCAACTATAAAAAATATATGCAAAGAGAGTTATACAAAGAGATACAGTAAAAAGCCAACAGGTAAAATGTAATGTCAAGAAATATTCAAATAATCTAAAAGACTTGATGGGGGTGGGTCAAAGAGAGCAAACAGAAGACTAATAATAAAATGGCACACCTAAGTTGAGCCATATGACTACTTATACTAAACATAAATGAACTAAACACATCAATTAAAAGCTGTAGATTATTGAATTCGATTTTAAAAAGACTCAACTATATGCTGCTATAGAATCTCACTTCAAATATAATGAAATAGCTAAATTAAAAGTAAAAAGGTGGGAAAAGGAATGCCATGCAAATACTAACCAAAAGAAAGTTAGTGGCTATATTAATATCAGACAAAATAAAATTTAGAATAAGGAAATTATCAGGGTCAAAGAGAGATATTACATAATGATGGAAGAGTCAATTCATCAAGATGATAGAGCAACTCCCTAAGTGTTGTTTATTTGCTGCTACTAGTTGTTGTTATTTGTTGTTTTTAGTCATTAGCTGTTATTTGTTGTATTGGTTCTTATAACTAGTAACAGAGCTTCAAAATACATGAAGCAAAAGCTGATAGAACTGAAAGGAGAAAGAGACAAATACACAATTACAGTTGAGGACTATATCACTCCTCTTAGTAATTGATAGCACAAGTAGAAAAAAATCAGCAAGAATATAGAAGACCAAATGATACTATCAACCACTCGACCTAATGAGCATTTATAGAATATCCCACGCAAGTAACAACAGAATATACACTATTTTCAAGTACATGTGGAACATTGAACAAAACAGACCATATTCTGGGTTACAAAACAAACATTATATTTAAAAGAATGAAATCATGCAAATTATGTTCCCTGACCATAATAGAATCGATTAGATCAAGAAAAATGATTTCTAGAAAACTTCTAAATATTTGGAAATTAAGCAATACACTTTAAGAAGTTCACTGGTCAATAAGGAAGTCTCAAGGATAGTAAGAAAATATTTTAGGCTGAATACAAATGACAGTACAATATATCAAAATTTGTAGGATGCAGCTAAAGTAGTGCCTAGAAAGAAGATTATACTTGAAATGCTCTTTTTAGAAAAGAATTAAGGTCTCAGATCAATAATCTAAACTTCTACCTTAAGAAGCTAGAAAAAGAATAGCCAGGTAAACACAAAGCAAGAAGAAGGAATAAAATAAGAACTTTAAGAAAAGAAATTAATGAAACGGAAAAAAGAAAACAATGGAGAAAATCAATGAAACCAGAAACTGGTTCTTGTGAAAGTTCAATAAAACTGATAAACTTCAAGCTCGTTTTGCCATGACAAAAGGAGAGAAGATGCGTATTACCAATATCAGGTATGAAATTCGGGATATCACTACAAGCTCCCACACATAAAAAGATAACAAAGAATAGTATAGGCAATTCTCATAAACAAGAAACTTACATGAAAAGGACCAAATCTTGAAAGACTAACAAACGAACAACAAACTAATGAAATTCACCCAAGAAGTAAATAACCTGAATAGTCATAGATTACTAAAGATACTGATTTCATAGTTGAAAATTGATCAATTAGAATAAAGAAACTATCAGGGTCAAAGAGAGGTATTACATAATGATGGAAGAGTTACCTCATCAAGATGATATAACAACTCTAAGTGTTGTTTATTTGCTGTTATTATATTGCTCCCCCACCAAAAGCAAAGCAAAACAAAAAACATCCAAGTCCAGATGTTTTCATTAACTAATTCAACCAAACAGTTAAGAAAAAAATAATACCAGTTCTTTATAATCTCCTCCACAAGTGAGAAGAGGAAATAAAGGACTTGTATCCAGAATTTGTAAAGAAATTTCACGACTTCAAAATAAGAAACTAAATAACCCAATTTAAAAAAGTAGGCAAAAAATCTGAAGGGACACGTCACCAGAGAAGATATATCAATTGAAAATAAGTACATGAAAAGATGATCAACTTTATCATTCAGTAGAGAAATGCAAATTAAATGAAGGATACTGTAATATACCTATTAGAATGGCTAAAATATACATACATAGCCACCCAATGTGATAGCCAGAATTCAGAGTAAATGGAATTCCCATACATTGTTGGTATGAAGGCAAAACTGTATAGTCATTCTGGAAAATAATTTGGTAATTTTCTATAAAGTCAGATATTCATTTACCTTATGACCCATTTACCACTTCCTGGGTATTATCCTAGAGAAATGAAAATAGATTCTCACAAAAGTCTGTACATGGATATTTATAGCAACATAATTCATAATTGATGTAAACTGGCAACCAATGTTCCTCAATGGATAAATGAATAAACAAGCTGTGATGTATCCTTTTATTTACTTAGCAATAAAAAGGAATGAACAGGTGAAAACACAGAGGAATCTCAAATGCAGTGTACTAAGTGAAAGAAAACAGTCTCAGAAGAATACATACTGTATGATTCCATATATATGACATTCTGGAAAGGCAAAATTATAGAGATGGACAGCGGCAAATCAGTAGCTGCCAGGTGTTGGGCTAGGAAAGGGTTCAACTACAAAGGTACAGCACAAGGAAATTTTTTCATATGTTGGAACTATTCTGTATCCTGCTTGTGGTGGTGGTTATAAATGTTTCCGTATATGTTAAAACACATAAAACTGTATACCAAAGAAGTAAACTTTCTAAAGGTAAATTTCCTAGATGATTAAGATGCTTAAAAACTTCAAACAAAAAAGTGAAGCCACTAGGTTCTATTTCCACATCCCCTTTCCACACATTCTTTGCTTCAAATTCTTACCATTGATTTCAGAAATATGAAACCGATCTCTATTCCCTGAGACTTCGTCTCCTAATTATAGCCAATCAATAAAACAGAATAATCCTTCATTGAAATAATCCTTCATTGAAATCCTGCATATGAAATAAAAAATAAAACAAACAAAACAAGCATATTTAGTCTAAGAGAGAGTGTGTTTATGTACAAAAGGACATTTATTATGAAATAATGATGATTCTAATGTGGAGATTTTCCAAAAATGTTCACTTTACCCAGTACCAGAGTATAAGCATGTCATTAGTTACAATAGCCAACTTTTATGTACCTAATGGCATTTAGTTGAACCCACTCACTGTGCCCAGGGTAGCGGCTATTTCTATGGGAATTAGGTAGGAATTAGGTCGTTCCACCCTTACATTCTCTACGGCAGATGTCTTGGATAATTCCAAGCGCTTGAGGTTCAAGCTGAGGGAACTGGCAGATTTTGATGACAGCTGCAGAAGCACCAGTTCTGTTGGGTCTCTGCGAGGATGAAGTGGTTGTAGCCAAGGAAAGGTGAGTCCTGGAGGGATCACACCTCCATGGGGTCACAGGTTGGGTTGTGAGGAGGACTGGGGTGGATTGCTAGTTCTATCGATTCCTTTATAAACTAACATGCCCTTGGGCACACACATTCCCAGTGATCTTTGTCCCCACCGCAGTCTGCCAACTTGTGCCTAGCAAAGGAAGAGGCTTGGGACTGGACTGGACTGGAGCCAAGAATCCTTGTCAACAATCACCACTCATCCCACTGATTCACTCATTCCTCCAACTAGTGTTTTGGGGTTGCGTAGAGTGTGCCAGGCATTGCTCTAGCTCTTCCTAGAGCCCTCTGAGAACATGCAGTGTGCATATAAGCTCCTGATGATCAGTCTCTCTGCTCCTGCATATTCCTTCATGGGTTGAGTCATGTATTTCCTACAAGAGTAAAAAGCTCCTTGAAAACAGGAACATGGTTTGTGTCTCTTTTGCATTACCCACGGAAGGTAACAGCCCCTTGCTATAAACTTGTAAACAAACTTGATATTCCCAGTATAGCACATATGCTCAATAAATAACTGATGGAATCAGTGAATAACCACACCTTTTTTATTCACTGCCTACTCCTCCAGTAGGGATTCCGTCCTTACATTACTCAAGGGCTGACATCAATGAAGTGGACATTACAGTGTGGGTTTTTTATAAAAGTTCTAATTTTGAACTAAAATATGGAAAAGAGCTTTGTAAGAATAGTAATAGTTAACATTACTAAAAACCCACCATGTGCTGGAGCTCTGAATCAATTATTAGCTTGCTTCATCTCCATAATAAGCAGATGCTTTTAGTCCCATTTCACACATGAGGAAGCAAAGACTAAAAGAGGTTCAATAACTTGTCCAAGGTCACATGGATAATTA